TTTTCTTTTTTTTGGTTGGGAATTTAAGGCAATGCGGTGGTTTTGTTGGACAGGTGGTGGTTGCAATTTTTGTTGGCGGCGGCGGCGGCAGTGGTGGATCTGACAGTTTGAGTGATTTTTGTTGAATTTGGCGGTAGATCTGGCAGTTGTAGTTTGACAGTGGCAGTGGTGGTCTATAGTTGAAATTGATGATTTGTTGGTCGTGGTGGTGGTGGTGGTGGTTATAAAGTTGAAAATGGAAGTTTGTTGGAAACGGTGATAATGGACTGGTGGTGGCTGGTGGTGGGTGTGTTGCTGACAGTGGGCTGTGTTGGTGAAATGGCTGGTGGTTGGTGGTGGGTGTGTTGCTGACAGTGGGCTGTGTTGGTGATGATAACACTATTAAGCTGTAATTATGGTGGTCGTCTTTCGTGGCTGTGGTGCCAGTGGCATCTAACCAACTGTTCGGCTATTTGTGATCTAAAAATTCAATAATTTGTGATTGAAAAATAATTTGTGATCTATAAACTTTCTTTTTACCGTGGCTATGAAATAATGTGTTCAATTAATTTAATAATACGTGACCAATAAATAAATTATGATCTATAAGAATGCACACGTAATCATTAATTATATAATTCTAACCTTAATATATTTAGTTAATAAAATATATTTAATTATTTATTTATCATCTAAATTTTGAATTTCGAAACTTAAAAAAAAAAAAAAAAAAAACCCAAAATTTGAATTGGCCCATAATTAATACCTGATTTTTTGAACTTTTCCCTTCTTTTCTTTTTTTTTTTAAAATTCGATCTAAACTCAGCTCCATATTAAACAATGCAAATAACGATCTTTTCAATTAAATATTGACGATACCATTCACCTCAATCTACCATAATACCATCTACTAATACTATCCATTGTAATTTTATACTAATAAATCCTTTATACGGATTAATCCGTTGCACCAAAAATAGCCTAAATTTATAAGCAAGTGAAGAAAATTGTTTGTTTAGAACCGCGGTTTGAAAAAGTTCAACAGCAACAAGAAGATATATTACATGAGAACGGAGATGACAGTTACATGATACATGGATTCCTAATCTAACCGAAGCTACGAGTAAAATATTTCAGACTGGAATTTTCACATCCCATTTTCTTTTTCACATACAAAAATTTGAACCGATACAGCTACAGCTCTTAAAGTTCCAAAACCCACAGGGAAAAGCCAATATCATCTGCGCAAAATAACGTAAAGAAAATAAATATGAATATCGATTGATAAGGACCATCATAATCCAGTGCAGAATTGCAAAGAAGTATAAACAGCTAAATATGAGCTAAGGCAGAATACCCTTATTCGAAGTGCATTCTTTTGTCCAAATTTCAATACAATTACTTGTGCATAAATAGCAGACCATTTCTCCTAATCAAGAACCCCCACAAAATATCTCACTGTATGTGTATCAAAGATGTATATCTCAACAATTCTCTAGTTCCTTATTTCCGGTAGTCTTCAAGCATGTGGATGCTCGTGCTTTTTGGTAAAGAAAGAAGGTAATGCTACTGGATGGAATATATAAGAGAGAAATAATCAACAATTGGTGCAATACGCAACACCAACACGACTGTTGGATAAATACACCATATTTTCTTACCAGAGTCAAACTTCATATACTAAGACCTCGGCATCAAGTGCTTCATGAGGGTTAAGTCTAGGATTGTAAATGGACTGATATTGATGAAGGGATATCAGGAAGAAAATTACTCAAAGAATTAGAGTTGGTTCGATATAAGTGGACTCCTCGTGGAATTTTGTGTGATCCACAGATTTTTATAAGATCAGAAGGAGAACTCCATGAGACTGCTGTAAGACCAAGGATGATATATGCACTGTTAAGAAATTGCATTTACATAAATCAAGCGTAGTTGAGATTGAAAATTAGAAAGAACAAACGTGAATTGGTTGAGGTCACAAGCCTCCGAAAAATTGCAGGAGAACCTACTGAGACTATCTTGGCATATTTAACAAAGACTGCTGGATGATCAATTGGTTTAAGTGATAGAACAAGTATACATGGTAAATCTAGAGGAAGAAGTTGAGCTAAAATCATATAGATGAGGTGGTTAAAAATTATACGAATAGTTGTGGTATAACACTGCAGATGGCCCTTGATTGAGCAAGTGAAAGTGAGGATCCGTATAGAGGAGTTGTGATAAGGGTTGAGGTTTGGTGAAGTTGAGTGTATACAAATACAGCTAACTGAATACTTATTCCCTGATAAAATTGGTATCAACTCTGTACCCATAAATATTTGTTGTTTATGTACACTATATAAATATGCATGTATACTTCAACTTTCATGAAAATCGTCATATCATTCCAATAGCATTAAATGAGTTCCGTTTAGAGGTCAACCAGCATACCTAGCATATAAAATTAAATTTAACTTCAGTGCTTCACTTGTCTGGGTGTCCCTGCTTGGCCTTCCGACGTGAATGATTAGGGTTACCATTTTGTACAGGCCTGTTCACCTTTTTACTGCAATATGAAGTTAGAACTGTAATTCCTAACACAGAGATAAAACTTACGGCTAGTCCAGTTAGATGAATTGTGCTGTACTTGACAAAATTAGAAAATAAACAGAAGCACCATTGTGTACCAAACATAATAATCTAGAGATGTTGGAGACTCATATTCCCCCTTTTATCAATTACATGAAAATGTTCAACACCAACAAACAGCAGGATGTCAAACAACTAACCAGAAAATGGCTGAGCATACTTTGAACAGAATTATGATGGGCAAAGCCAGTACAGCAGAGGCCTACCAAACATAAAATGTCAATTACACAGAAACCTATATATTGATCTTGACAAAGAAAAAATGGAATCAGGACCTTCGAAAGTCATACAGAACTTACAGCAAACCAAACCAGCTCTCTTGTTGCAAGAGGTTTTGTAAGTTCGTGACTCTTCAGTTTTTCTTGGACGGTATCCTGAACCTTCATGTGAGAAAAGTACATTGAAATAATAAGATGATCCCATGTAATTATTATATGGCTGAATATGGAATAAGGCATCTACTGCTGATTCTTACAGGAGTACTTGACAAACTATTCAAGTAACATGGAAAATCATATTCAACTTCCTATGGTTTGATGGGGAAAACATCAGTGTACAATAGTCATACTACTCTTAGAAACCCTTATTGATGCACCCTAAAGTCTCTTAAAATTTTCTCTCTCCAAGAATTGAATGTGTCGTTTTTGTAAGTTTTATGTTTACTATTCACCCTAACCCCCCCCCCCCCCCCCCAAAAAAAAAAATATATATATATAAATAAATAAATAAACAAAAATAAAACCGACAAAATCCCCAAAGGAAGGTAATTTTCAATAACCTGGAAGCTCATTCTTCCAAGATAGACAGATATGATAAACTTTGCCCGAAATGTTGAGTATTTTTAGGAATTATTTAATTAATAGAAATTTCACTTTGACTTTATTTTATGAATGTGGGGTTTCAAGGTCTTATAACAGTTGCTTGGGATGAGTCATAGATCTTACCTCGATTGAAGTTGGTCCAACAATGTTAATGTATACATTTGGTTTCACGGGTAAAAGTTGTTGTTCCAAATTCTGCTCTCTGCTACACAACTTTAAACAGAATTCAACTGTATGAAATTGTGGTGGGTGTAATGTGTTGATCCCTAACCATTGGTCCAGAAACCATTCTTATCTCAAATAGGTACTATTTCCAGATAATATTTCACTGTTTGTACACCAAAGTGATGCAACCCATTTGTAAATTGAGAAGCGCTTTACTCTGTTATCCATTCAACTGTTTCAGCAATTAATTCCATTTTCTTTGCAAGCAATTAAACAATATATTAATCCTCAGAAATTTTATTACAAGCAACAGGAGATCTGTCAGCATTTTTTTCTCACAGATATTGCAACCTCTGACTCTCTTAACTAGTCAAACCATGCCAGTTTCCCATATATTTCACCAGTTGAGGTGTTGTTATGTTTCAGTTGAATTATTCTACCATGGTGGTTTTTGGAGTTTAGAGTCCTGTAGTGGTGTTTAACTGTTTTTAGTTACCAAGACTAGGTTTTGGGGATTTTGGCTATGATGGTGGTGTTAATCTGATTTGGCTATGATGGTGGTGTTAATCTGATGATGGAATTTCAGGTATGGATGGAATAATAATTTCTTTAAAACCAGAAGAAAATTCAGTAATGATGACCCAAGGGGCTACAACCCAGAAAAAAAAAAAAAAAAGACAGACACCACAAACTGAGAATCATTCATCCATTAGTTTATTGAGCTAATCTAGAATTGTACAAAAGAAAAACTTATTGAGGTGGTTTTCGATTGGGCCACCAAACACACATTCAAAACTCATTCTTCAGCATTTGGATTTTGGTGGTGTCCAGTGAGTGTCCAAGTTAGTGAGTGAGGGAAAAGTACAGTGGTACTAAGTGTTGACCCAAGTCAAATTTCAATATTCAAGTAACATGGAGCACCTAAAGAACTGCAAACAATCAATCAAAAATGTAAATTTGTAATGCAGAAAGTATATAGGACTATAATAACAAAAAATTTACCTTATGATGGTATGTAGTTGCCGATTCTAAGAATTTTCCAGAAGTATGAACTACCTCCTGCATATATGGCTTTAAAGTAGTATGTATTTTATCAACATGAGGTCTAGTTGCAGTGGCAACTTGATCAATATATGGTCTGCTTACTTTCACTAATTCCTGCACTCCAATTAGGTAGACTTAAATTGGCTGAAGATACAGATGGTAAACAAAAAGGAGTCAAGTAAATAATCTCACCTGAAAATAAGGATCAGCAAGTTCCTGAACTTTGACGATATGTGGAGCTATGGTGTTCTTCGAAACCTTATATATCTCAAGAGTTTTTGTGTTTAGCATTTTCACATGTGGTTCAGCCTTGGTGGTTATAACTACCCACCGCTCTTTTATGACCGGGATCCATCTCTTCACACGGAAAGGGAACAAAGGAAGCATCAAAATTCAAAGTTACAGGAAATAAAATGAACAAAACTCATCAAAAACACTCAACCATGAGTGATTTCTACCAAAAAGTTATAGAACTTTTCTCATTTTGCAATATGACAATTTATGCGAGTTCCACATTTTTTATGAGATCAATAATAATGCAAAAAGATGATATACCAAAACAATGCGATTATAAATGACTAATGGGCAACCAACTAAAATAAAATGGCTTTTAAACAGCCTAATTAAGAATGCACGTGACAATCTGTTTCTCGCATCTGCATTGATGAAAGTGATAGGCCTCCAATTCTAGAAGAGCCCAGTAGAATTTAGAAGAATATACAATTAGTTAGAAATGATCTATAAATAGAAAGGCAACGTGTAGGGTAGAGGGGAGGAATTAAGTGAGTGAAAGTGAGGCTTACGAGAGTGTAGTCCTCTCGAATGACTATAAGTTATCTTCTTTTTCTGTAATCATTTTTAGCATTCAATAAGAGTTTAGCTTATACATATTCCTTTCTTTGTTTTTCCCTGTTAGAACCTTAACAGAAAGCAAATTGATCACTAACAATCAGAAGTACTAGTTGACATACTGTTTTCAATGTTTCAGCATGCAGTGCAGTCCACTCTTCAACTTGGGCCTTCTTCTCAGCACCCTGAAACAAGCACATACATAGACATTAATGATCGTGCATTCAGAAGCCAAATATATATCATCTAATAAGTAGAATAACACCTTCCTACACTTGAACAGTGGCTAATAGAAAATCTTTATATACATATTGCAACTTGGATGCTACCTTTTGCAGTGCCACATCCAGAGCAGGCTTTACATGCATTTTCCAGTTATTCTCCAGAAGTGACTGAAATTACAAATATAGAGCATGAGGAGAGTCCACTAATATGTACATGCCGCTAAGAGGGGCGATAAACTCAAAACAAAAACCTGGTAATGAATCAAATGAGCTGCAAACCAAGGTGGAAGCCATGCGCCATGAGCCTAATTATATATCAGGAATTGAAGAACATTAAAATGCAATAAGATTGTGCTAAGGTCTATTACACCTAAAGAAAGAAATAAGCCTGTTCTTAAAAATATAACATATTTAAAGGGAATAACGGAACATTCATAGAGAATTATTCACGTCCATAGCCCGAATGGAAGTTTTAAAGATACCAACTAGCATTATGGAGATATTGAACAGCTACAGGGAGGAAGTATTTCAGGTGAAGATTCTTGTTATGTGTGAGATATGATAACGTTTAAAGAGAAGAAAATCAGAAAACAAAATGTGCAATAAATCTCTCCATACGAAATTGCACCCTGCTGCTTGAAATGCAAAAAACAATAGCAGCATATTCAGGTAGTTGACAGCAGAAATACGAGCAGCACATCTCTATGGGTATGTATATGTAATATGGTAGTTTTTTACTGAAAGTAACAGCGCCAATTCAGGATATTGACTTTATCATGGAAAAAATTTCATAAGAAAATTAAGGGGAACAAAAAGTAAAAATCAATTATAAGCTTCCATTAGTTCTTTACCTTAAGTTTATATCCATTACATCATTTGTTCCATCTACGTTCTCTATATTTTTCTTTCAAGAATCAAGATAATTGCTTGTTTGTAAACATGATTTCCAAATCATTATTTCCCTTTGCTTCTGGATTCAAATTGCTATACCTACTCTTGTAAATGAACATATTATATAGTAAAAACTAAATACGTTGTTATTATTAAAATATCTGCACGATATCATGTAATCATAATATGAGCACCTAAATCTGGTCATTTCCTAATTGGATTAAGCCCTTAACACTTTGGACCACTCACAAATTGATTTGTTGTAATGAATCAACATAGGTTTTCAGCAAATGATCTAACTGAAGACTACATTATCCCAATCAACATGAACCAAGCATCAGATTGACGCTCTCCAATGACCAGGGCGTGTCAATTTCTTGCACAATGGAAAGATTTGGTACAAATTATCACAATATATAGACAAAGCTAAAATAAAGGTGAAGACAAAATTGACAGAAAAATTTACTTAAAAATAACAAAAGTAACTAAGATTCGCTAATGAGCAACTTAATTATTATTCGACCAAAAGGAAGCTGGAAAGGGAAAATAAGCATTAAGTTATTCATCGCAAATTAAAGATAGTTGAATGGTAATGCAAAATAAACACAGCATCAAAGAAAAAATAAATGATTCAGAGAGTTTAACCTCCATCAACTCCTTAGTTTTGGACGTTGTTTCAAACTTTGCCTTCATCAATTCCTCCTGCACCGAATACATATAGAAAAATTTTGCAATAGGTCATCCCAATCTATGTGTAAACAAATTTCAAAAGAAGCTAAGTATGACATACCTCAGAAATTTTTAATGCTCGTTCAGTTTTACGCAACTTGGTCTTCTCTTCATCGATAATCTTTTGAAGCTGCACAAAGAATGGCATTCTCCATAAAAAGCAGTATAACTATTAAAAAATTAATTATTCCACTCTTGTATTTCATAAGTGTAACTGGTACAAGACTTGGATGTACTCCATAAAAACACTATACACAAATTTGATCAACTTGCCAACGTTCCTTTATTTCCTTCTTTTTACGTGGACCATGTTATTGTCTGGTCTAACCTTTTACGATCAACGGTACTTCTGAATCTCTTAATTTCTTATTCATTAATCCATCAATTTTCTTCTTAACAATTCCAACTTTATTGTTCCTATTCTCTTATAAAATTTGAAGTTATACAAGTGTTACAAAATTAGGAAACATGAGTCAAACGAGTGGCATCATATTTTTTAGCCTCTAGACACTTCGAGCTTTGCCAATATTGACATGGAGATTATATAATCACACAGGATCACAAATTAGTTAGCGGCTTTACACCATCATACTCAATTATAAACATTTTAGCTCTTGATAGCTCGTGTCACTTCAGAGAATCTTTTAATCAATTTCATCCATCTCCAACGAACTTTATGCACAATAAATCTGGAATCAGCAACATGAATCATTTTTACCACCCTGTTAGGTTTAGTGTTCAATTTATTGCTACATATGCTGGAAAATCAAAACCAACTAGACCCCTTCTCTTCCAACAATGTTCGAGTGAGATCACATTAAAACTTGTGAACATGAGCCTCTTTAGGTCTAAGGAAGACTGCCCCAACAATCTAAGATAGAGCCGCTTAATTTATCCTCGATTAGTGTCACCTCCACTTCTTGGAATAGATTTTCTTTTTTTATTACACTAAGCAGTCTAACAGCATGCCACATTAGTTTTGTTCATGTGCTTCCCTCAGAACATAATTAGGGCTCCCCAATCTTTAAAAAAATAATAAAAATAAAAATAAATAAATAAAATTCAAACAAGTAGATTACTGATAGAATATGACTTCGCAACCTCAGATCTGCAATTGGTAGAAAGAAAAATATAATATCTAAAATCACTGTTATATGTAAATCTATAGGAAACAGTAAACAAAAAACAACTTACATTCTCAACTTTAGAATTCAATTCAAATGCCTTCCTTTCGGCATCAGTTGCTCGGGCTTTCAACACTTCCTTCTCCTTATTTTTAGTTTCAATTTCTATTTTGAGTTTCTCCACTTGCTTTTCTAATTCACCAGCTTGTGAATGTGCCCTCCCCACCCGCTCCTCCGCATTTGATCTTCCCTTTCCCTAAGAAACAATCAAAACATATAAAAGCTCACGTATCATCACAACGGAAATTAAGTCTTCAGCATGTAGAGGAGTGTCAAGGATATAAAACGATAGCAATGGCTGAATTTAGGGAATTTGATGCCTCACTTGTAGAGATGTGATTTCACTGAGCAATGACACAATGCTGTCTGATTTTTCTTTAATTGTCTTCTCCTTTGCAGCAATCACCTCATCCTTGTCTTTCACTTCTTGAGTTTTCTCCTCAAAACGAGCCTCTTCAGGTACAAGAAACGTGTGAGAAATCAACAACTGCAATCAGCTTCCACTACTAAAAGAATAATGCAATCAAATAATTTTGTTATATGTGACCTGAACCGAGGATGTGGATACAACCAAACAGGTTAGTCTATTAACAATCTCATTTATTTCTGCTAGATTCTTTACATAGGAGATGCTTACACGATAAAACAGTTTCCAAATTGGAATAATGTCTTTACCGATAAGTAAAAAAAGGCTTGAGGATTTTTGGTGTCAACTTCCATTGAATAAGATAGTTTGGAAACTCAGCCTTTGGAAATAGGTGCAGATCAAGAAATGACGGTTGCTGGTCCACCTCTGTAAGAAGCTCTACAGGTAGAAAGGAAGTAATCTACTGGAGAGCACCATTGGTGAACTCGACTGTTCTTAAACGGTGTAATATTGCAGAAACACACAATCCACACCTCTCCCAAAGGTAAATTGAAAAATTAAAATCGAAGAGAAAGTTTATGAATCTAGCTGATATATCATAGACTTCCACCACAACTGAGTTTACTGGCATAGTCCTCAACCACCTACCGGTCCTACCCTGTCAGCTTGAATGCACCCTAGAAGCTACTTTACCTTTGTTCTGGGTTTTGCTTCCACTCTTTAGTAGTATTGTGATAGCATCCCAACTCCTATATGATTCAATCATACAAGTTGTTAATTCAAATTCTAGAGCGTTCCACTAATTAGTTAGCAAAGGGGTAAAATGGAGAATAGAGATATGATAAGAATCTATAAATGTCATGGGGGGCTGGGGGAGAATTCATTCGGGGAATTTTGTTAGAAAAGTGAGGAGAGATCAAGGCCTCTCGAATGCCTTGGAGTGTCTTTCAAATTCTGTTTCATTTCATCAGTTCATTTACAGATGTTTAAGTTCTCAGCAATTCAATAAAACAATATATTTCATCTAGCTTCAATTCTGCAATTCTTTAGCACTATTCCAGTTATCTCCAATTTCATCAGCAGCCGGCAGAACCTTGGACATCCCAGTTACCTCAAGCATCAGCCGTAGTAGCTGGTACCTCTCAAATCTAATCCATAAAAACTAACTTTGGCAACCACAGGCTCCATTTCAGTACTGCAACAGCTACAACAGCACAGGAACCTATCATATTGCTCCTGGCATGTTTACTTAAGTAGTCCTGTTTATTTTTCCAGACAATGATTTCCTATGTTCCCTTTCTATAGTATGCAAGGCAAAGGCAATTTTTATTTCTTTGTCTAGTTAAAAGGCAAAAACTTATTATTGGCTTCTACTCCGTACAAAATGTTGATGAAAATATCAAAATACATCGCAAATTTTGCTGCAATCTTCTGTCTTGAGAACTATTAGACTTGCCTTCCCTTTCAGTTGCATAAATCATCTGAAATATAGGGCCTATGTGACAAAGCTTTTGATAAAAGTTCTAGCAGATTTTGATAAAAGGTTGGAAAGATGATAAAATTGTAGGTCCCAAGAAATATGTGATTAAAATTGAAAATTTTAGCTTTAACAAACAAGCACCTAGTAAACGTAAAAGAGGACAGCTAAGCACGGAAACCTTATTTCAATTGATCTTCTTTTCAAACAAAGTCCTCCTACTATAAAACACATCCAACATTAACAAGCCATTTTTCAATAACTATCTCAATATACCTCGTGAACTACACAACCGCCACTCCCAAAATATAATCAACCTGGTGCTCACACACATGGCCACATTATGCAAGCATAACATATACTCACCCATGTAGCAGTTACATACGAGTCTTAAATCAAAGAACAGGGAGAAAACTCAAGGACCATAGCCGACCCACAAAGACGTGATTTTTAGAATTGCTACCTTTCATTGGAGTCTATTTCCCAAAACATCAATACTCAAGCGCAAACATAAGCGCACAATTGCCACACGTAGACATGTTAAACCACTGTGAATTCTATTTGGTAAGTTAAACCTCCTCTGTACATAGATCACTCGATTAAGCTCAATACTAAAAGTACAATCGAAAAAGAATAAATACCAACATCACTCCAAACGTAAGAGCGGGTTAAATCTCACGCTAAAAAATGAATTGCCCATTAATTATCATAATTCAAATGGGCTCTTCACGAAAAGTACAATAATGACAAATAATTTTTAAAGCGGACTACTAACCAAGAGCACCGATCTTGTTCCTGAGCTGTTCTAGCAGGACGGAATCATATCCGTCCGATTTGAGTAATTGGACATCATCATCAGCATCGGCTTTGATGTGCGTGAGGACTACGGATAGAAATATGGACAGTATGAACAATTTTAACGCCGCCATGTAGCCAATAACGAAGGCACCGGCGCTCCGGCGATCCAATTATCCGGTAAACTTTGTTACTAATTTGGCCTTTTGTTGTTTCGCCTTCTTCTAGCGGTTGCCTAAGAAGCCTACGTTCGGTTGTAATAAAAATATGAAATATCTTCATTTTTAGTCGTTTGAAATTTATATTGACACGCCTATGCATTTCTTCATATTTGATTTCAATGACGATAATACCCTTGAACTTGGTAGTTAAAGTTTGAAGAGAATCTTGAGGGTGAAACAACAATAAGAATATTGAAGGATGCTCCGTGTACACTAAAGTGTTACAGACCCCTCTACGTGTACATTAGAGTGTTACAGACCCCTCACATCATGTGAGGATGTGAGGGATGTACACTAGTGTACAAGAAGTATTTTTCAAGAATATTTTGAAAAGACTTTTTAGTAAACATATATATCTGAAATTGAAACTTCTTTTAAAATAAGATTTTAGGAAAAAAAAAATGTCTTCAGATAGCTTCTTTAGCTTCGTTCTTGTACAATATGTATCATTAGAAGTTATGTTAAATGTACCATTACTATCATATAGAGTTTTGTAGGTAAATTTATCTAGTCAAAATTGAAAATTGAAGCGTGGCTTAGTTTGCGATGTTGAGTGTAACAATCTTTCATCGAGTAGTAGATTTTTAAAGAGAGAATTGCGGACATAATATCAAGAGAATGAGAATTGTTTGAAAAATAAATAAGTTAATAATTTTTTTTCCTAAATATGATGACTCATGTCCATCTCGGCATGGTTACAGGTAAATTTCATGCTGAAATTATGTTGGTTGATTAAAAACTAATTAAATTGGTAGCGACAACAATACATTGAGCCTTAGTTTGAGTCTCATTCTTGTAAAAAAAAAAAAATGCATTTTGAATAGTATATTGATGAAAAGTTTGTGTTAAAAAAATAAAGAAAAATCATGAATTTGCGTGTGATGTTATTTTATTTAAGAATGTGTGGTTGAAGTGGAGTCAAATCACTATTAAAAAATGTATTTTGATGAAAATGAGGATAAAACAAGGACTTATCATGTTCGAAATCAACTTAACCTCTATTTGACAACCACTTTTACATAACTCTTTTTTTTTTTTTTTCAGATTTATTTTAAATCATGCATTCTCATAATTAGGGATGACAAATTGGTTCGTCGGCTCAAACCTCCTGTGGATCGGCTTGAAAGAAGTTCGAGCCGGGCCGACTCGAGGCTTGTGGCCTGGTGTGTCCGACCAAGCCTTAGCCAAACCATGGGGTTCACGAGTCGACTCGAAAAAAACTCGCTATTGAGCCCGCTTGACTCTATAAGACCCAAGTCGAAAAACTCGGATCAAGATTCGATTTCTTGGTCTAGCTTTTGCTCTGCTCAACTCGACTCAGGCCAAAAAAAGTCGGAGCCGAGCCGGAGCCTCGAGTATAAACTATTCTGTACATAAAATTAAAACTTTTTCATACTTTTAACTACCCATTTTTTAAAAAAATCACTATTTCAAATTTAATTTTTCCCAAAAGATCTTTTTAATGGTAGTCAAACACGGGGTTAGAAAAAAGGAAAAAAATTACAATACTGTCACTCGACTTGCACGGATGACACCTCCGATGATCGTGCCCTCACATGGGATGCATGGTCCCGTGCGAATAAAATAATCCCGAATCCATGTATGTGCACGACCATCCACGCAGTTCATGTAGTGTTGTTGAAAAAATTAAGTCAATGAACAAGATGGGTCAAATAAATAGTAGTGTAGTGTGTTGATAGCGTTTCTCCTGAGGTGGAAATATCACTAGTGTGGACCTACGGTAAGAGTATGCCGGCACACGTTTCTATGTCATGCAATCTAAGAGGTACAATATCATAGAAGAAGACACGTGCAATGGACAACTGTCCCGCGTTCAAAACTAGGCTCTATTTTAATGTCGACTAAAATCAATAATTAAGTTTAATCACGTATGTTATACGGGATTCAAAAATTTTAATTACATATTTTATCAATTTTTATTCAAGCGTACTAAAGATCTAATCTTGATCTACACCAAACAAGTTCCAGATGATCATATTTGTACTATGAATATTTATTTGAATATTTGCGATGAGTTGAAGGATTTGTTTGGCAAAATTTTTATTTTTTGTAGAAATATTTTTCGAGCAAGCTTCTTTAAGCCAACTTTATTTAAAAAAAAATTTCTAGCATTTACGAACATGTTCAAAACCAATTTTTTAATCTCGGAAGAAATTTTTTATTTTTAAAAAATTATGCCAAACAGATTCGTGGTTATTGTGTGGTTTATTTTGGAATATGAAGAAATTTTTTGAACAATTTTATCGATTTAATACGATATTATATGAGTGTCGCATAGTCACTTAACATTCAAATAAAAAATTCGTTAACCAAAGATATGTGCATTACAATTTTAAAAGGTTAAAGATACGGGCAATAGATCGAGAACACGTATTTTCTTATGTGTTGTCTCGCCTAGGTGGTCTATGTACCTATTTTGAAGTTTTAGGTGAGAAAACAACTATTATCAGAAAAAATAATTGAACGGTCATTCGAGGGTACCTTTTAATGGTTGGAAATTGGCTTGAAAATGTCGGGTTTGACCAATTTATTTGACTTAAAAATCGTGTTCCTTTGAGAAAACCATGACTTTTGGAACTTTTTTCCTTTTTCTTTTGTGTTAAGCTTCTTGGACAGGGGATTGGGACAGGGAATTGGGACAGGGGGCATGTGGCGCCCCCTATTGGAGGGGTAGCTGACCGCGTCAGCTACCCCTCCAATAGGGGGGCGCCACATGCCCCCTGTTGCCAAACCCTGTCCCAATCCCCTGTCCCCCTAGCATCTCTCTTTTTTTTTTACTCTTTTTTTTTTTTTTTGGGACAAGTGTGTCTCTTCACGTAGAAAAAAGTTCTAAAAATTGTGTCATTTCTTAGAATCCTGTCTTGAACTACCCAAAGACTATTCCATTTGCAAAATCATTCTTATGATCATACCACTTTTGTACAAAATTATTACTATGCATATTTAACTCCAATTCTATAGGAGAGTACAAAACTCTGTTTCTTTCATTATTTCTCAAGATTTGAATATTGTTATTATGAAAAGTGATGTTGTTCAACCATGGATACTCGTGTGGGGCAAAATCATATTTAGGAAAGGGTTTCGATCAAGCTCATTATTTGATTCTTTTTTCGACATTTCTTGGTTTCAATAACTCAAAATTTTTTCTTTTTTTTTTTTTAGTACAATTTGCACTATTTTTTTTAATATATATTAGATAAGTCAACATTTTAGATAGTTTATGATTACTCTTCGTGCTAAAGCGTTGATAACCACTATTCTAAAAAACAATATCATTATATAAATAAGAATTTATGATCTCTTTCTATATTGTAAGTTCTACTGAAAACGAGCTTTTTGTTCCTTAATCAGTGCCATAGAACATTTACTTTGAGATGGTGCCTCTTTTCATGAAGTCCAGTTACGCTTGTGTTCGTTCAGATCATTGGAAAAAATGTTTTACTGTAAAGAAACGTTGCTTCCCATTTAGACGAAACTCTAGATTTGAAGAAAAGGGGAAACAGAAATGCACAAACTAATGCTACCTTACATCTCGTCATAATCAAGGGGGGTAAATGTAAGTATTATGCCCTAAGTCCAATCAACTTTAGACATGAATACTTGTATATATAATTAATACAATTAAATGGTAGATCTATTGTTTAATTAATAGACAATTAAATAAATAATAGAGTCCGTAGATTCAAATATTTGTAATTTGTTAATCACAAGAAGTTGTGATTGTGAAATACAAATTACATCTGATTGAATCTTAAATCATCCGTGGTGGTAAGTAATAACGAGATACGGATATCGTTATTACGGATAGACCATCACGTGTGGCATTTCTTACTTGTGAAGTAAGTAGCTGATCTCATAAGTTAAAGTATGGTGACACTTAAATGAACACGTGGATATTTTGTTATAGAACAAAACATTGGAGACCCGTCGAGAGATTCCACATGGATAACTATCTGAGTGTCAGTGGTTAATCTCTAACGTTCGGTAGTGGAATTGGTCCTTTAACTTGAGGTCGTCGTGGTACCTTATATGAGGACAGTCATACTTTGGCGGTGTTGGATGTTGCTCTGAAAAGGGCCGCTAATACGACATTGTTCGGGTACGTCAAGAATCGTATGAAGGTTGTGATTGATCAATAAAGGATTCGTCACTCTTAGATAGTAAGAGATTATGATATGCGTTTCATTCAATTAAGTCGATGATGAAATCCTTGGCCAAAGTGTACTCATAAGTCGAAAAGGAGTTTTCGATTTATATTGACTTAATAGTGGAGTGAAAGATATGATCGATGATCGAGATTGACACAATTCCATATCTCGTAATTGATCAGATCATATTGACGAAGGGATTATAGTTTCATGGTAAATGAATGAATTTGGTTTTGTCATATCACATGACATTTTCTGTCACATGTATTGTCCCGACACATTGTTAGATGTCAATCAGGGACAGCGAGTGTGAATTGACGATAAATTAAAAGGGTATTTTAATTTATCAATTTTGATTAGATCAAAATAATATTTCACGTCGTTAGGCATCGTGGTCGGGAACCTAATGGGTCGCACACAAAAGAGAATTGGAAGATTGCAAATTGTCAATTGGTTAATTTAACAATCGTTGGATAAATTAATTAATTGGATTTATTATTTATATTCCCGAATTAATTAATTGGATTAATTAATTTACGGATCGGGTTTAATTAATTGGATTAATTAAATATTGGACCGGATCGGGTCGAGCCCGTTTGGGTTTATATAAATACATACTTAGGGTTTGAGGTCCATATGGTTTCCATTATTCTTACTGGCACAAGAGAGAAAACCCTGGTAGCTGCAATCTTGTTCTCTGTGTGGATTACCGTTGGAGGCTGGACAATTGAACAGCTGTGGATGGCGAATCAAGATTGCTGGAACGAAAAGAATAGCAAAGAAGTTTGCAGATCTGGAAAAGGTACAATCTTATCACAATTTTTATCTAAACACAAAGGCGATTCTTGGTGGGAATCGAAAATTATTTTAAATTCCGCTG